GGGACTTCCTAAGGAGACGGAGCCAACGCCCGCCGCGCCCACAGGCGTGCTGGTACTCGCTCCGGGTCAGTGTTCTGATGCCCAGGCTGCAAATCTGCGTCCACCTCAGGGCCTAGCGCTGTGCATAACCTTGTCATCTGCCCCAGACCCCCGCTCTCTCGTCTCAGGGGAGTCCTCCCCATCCTTGCGGGGCAGGTCTTGTGTGCCAAGGGGGCCACTCACCCAAGGAGACAGGAAGCAAACTGGGCTTTGGAGAAAAATTTCAGTGCCATCAGTGAGTCCATTTCCTTTCCGTTCTGCAGCTGGGAGCACACTGGCTGGTAGTCTCTCCCCCAAGTCCTGACAGAAGCTGGGGGATTGTGTGGCACCGCCGAGTTTGTTCGGAGCTGCCCAAAAGCTGCAGAGAAAACATTGTGATTGTAGCTTCCTCAGAAGTACAAAAATAAAGTAAAACAGAAGGTTGTGACAGAGACTCTAATGAGAATAAAATGCCAATTAACTCAGAAGTATTGGACGAGAATCTGTTTCTCAGAAGAACCCCAGGTCGCACTTCATGGATCCGTTTCAATGTCCCCCAGAGCACTGACCGGCCACGCTGGGGAAGCCGCCCTCAGAACAGTCGAGAACTCAGTGCCAGACCCACTACTTGTCACTTTAATTGGCACTCATTCCGTATGATGCTCACACGTTCACCGAATGGGTTCAGTTTAATTCGGAGTGGGGATTTCTGTCTTTCTCCTATTGAAGTATTTAATGGAGCAGGCTTTAACGCCGATAGCATTCCATCGCTCTCCCGTTTTGCTTTAAAGAATACAGAAGACCCCTCCAACCATGATGGATTTTGAAAATATTTTTTTTATCAGCTCTGTAATTACAAAGGCTGTTGAGCAATACCTTTTCTTTCAGTGGGATGATGGGATAGGTGGCAAAAAAAAAACCACAAAACAACCCATCTCCTTTGTTATCTATTCTGTAGTCCCCCAAGTCATATTAGCGAGCACAGATCTATCGGAAAGAGGCCGTCCTCAGAGTCGGGGTGGCGATCGGGAGGCCAGGTGCTCTCCTGCCCCCTCCCCGCATCAGGCTGAGCTGAGCGTGGCTGGGGAGGCAGCATCTTTGCGGAAGAGAAGGATGCGACGCTCCAAGCCTTGGCTGGTCACAGGGAGGCAGGCGGGCTCTCCCCGCCCTGCGTGTGTTAGTGCTGACAGACAGAGCGCAAGGCATCGCTCACCCCGAGGTGTTACATCCTGATACACTGACAGGCAATTATCTTCGGAGATAGTGTTAAAACACAATAATTAATTGGAAGACGCAAGCGAAAGAGTGGTGGCCCCAGGCCCAGGCGGAATGGTACTCCTGCAGACGCTCTGTGAGGCGGTATTTTAGCCTCAGTGGGTCATTTGATTTCACGCCTCCCCCGTCCTGAAACCCTCCCAGCGCTTTGTTTTTGAACAGCTTCAGCCTTGAACGTGTCTCAGCCGTCTTTAAAGACCAGCCTCCCACAGCAACCTTCCACAGTGGTGCCCGGCAGTCGAGAAAAATCGCCGCCGCAGCGGAGACGTCTCACATGGCCCCGCTTCTGCAACGGTCCGGGCCGACGGAGGTCTTTGCTTCAGGTGGAGGCTGACACGTGTCTGCTTAAAGGAAACATTCCCACCTCAGCCTGTTCGGTGGGAACAACAGGTTCCCACGCCGAAGCGTGGGCTGACCTCCCCGACCCCCAGCAGCGGGGGCAGGGCACGTGGCTGTGTCCGGTTACTAACAAGCCTGGAGAAACGTGGACTTTTCCTTTGCTTGTCCTGCCATGGTGACATCCGTTGACCTGTATTTGATACTCTGCATAATGCGTGTGTGTCAGAGATCACACAGGTGACTGAGAAGGGGAGAGAGAACGAGGAAGGGAGAGGAGGATGGAGGGAGCCTTGCAGAGTTTAGCAAGAACCTAAGTGCATTCTAGGGGATTCCTCAGCTGCAGGGGGGCAGAAACCATCCGGATTTGACTTAAAAGGGGAAAGGGGAGATGCTTGAGGACACAGGACATCTAACAGAATTCAAAGGGAAGCAGGCTTCCTGACCTCAGAGACAGGTCAGAGCAAGAAGCCCTTTGCTCTCCCTCCATCTCTTGCCCCCAAGAAGGGCTTAACTTCCCCCTTTGCCATCAAGCTGGACCCTCTTCCTCTGTGGCCCGCGTGGCGATGGACAGCCCCAAGGCCCAGGGGTGAGGCCACACGCTGAAGGTACAGCCACACGAAGAGGCTCACTCATGCTGCCTCGTGGCTCCAGCCCCCAAGCCCTGGACGGGGTTTGGATTCGTCCATCTGGAGTTGGTACCCCCCCTCGTCTAAGTGACCTCGTCTCCAAAAATTCTCTCAGAAGCTGGAGGGTCCGCTGATTCACGGGTGATTATATGGCACCACCAAATCTGTGCAGAGACGGTGTTATAATTGTGAAAATAAGAATGAAACAGAGCAGAAGGTTGTGGCGCACCCGGAAGGTAAACCACGGTGAGCTCAGTGGTGCGTGTATGCTGGGGGCAGTTAGAGGGAAGATGCCCAGAAAGGTGTCCTGCGAAGAGAACAACTTATTTTAACCTGAAGAAAACATTAGGGGAGATTTTGTGCTACTGTGCCGAGTTATCTAGAGGACGCTTAAGGAAAGGAAGTCAGAACTGCGTGGTTGTGGGCAGCCTGCCCTGGACTGTGGCCCTGCCCTCCGTTCTCCAGGAGAGGCGTTGGCGGCTCTCTGACACCCTGCCTCTCCTCTCCTGGACAGTCTACATGACCTGCCGGCCTGAACGGTGTGGGAGGCCTGGATTCTCCCGCCATTCTTCTATTGCTGTGAAGGAATGATCAAGTCAGGGTTGTAGAAGGCACAGCCCTCGGAGTTACGTGTGACGGAAACCAGCACAGACTGGCTTTTAAAAGGGGGGCTTGTCACGGAACACTGTCTCTGGGGAGTGCCCAGGAGGGCCAGGCAGGCGTGGCAGTGTGGACAGAGACCAAGGCTCTTGACGAGGGCTCTCCCTGCCCTTCCTGTCTCAGCTGATCGCTGCCATCTGGGGGCTCCGCTCATTGCCGCCGAGGCTGAGCTTTCTCCCCGTGGTCGGGGAAGGTGACTGCTGGCAGCCTCAGCTTCGCACGACCTGGCACCCTGACTCGGGCAGAAAGCAGCTCCAGCGGGCGAGTCCTCGCAAGGCCACGTGCGCATGCCTGCTGCCGGGGCCGCGTCTGCCCCGTGGAGTCGGAGAGTCCAGGGCACCTGGCTTTGGCACCTCCCGGACCACACGGTGCAGGAAGGGGGTGGGTCTCCCAAAGGCGGGGCTGTGAGCACACAAACAGGGCCCGACCTCCGTGGGCAGTCCCGTTGTCGGTCCCTGGACATCGGAGAGGCACATGCAGGGCCGGAAAGGGTGCTGAGAGCTCAGACGCGTGCGGGGTCGCCACACGGGTCTCTGATGGTGAAACTCCGAGGTTAACGCTGCCGTTGGCCTCACGGGCTCTCTTCCCTGACCTCTCCTGAAAATGCCTTCTGTTCTTGTCGTGGGATCTGGTCTGTTAAGATGATGGAAAACAGAGAGGAGAGGGCTAGTAGGCAGCTCTGGGGAGGATGTCTCAGTGGAAAAGATTTTTTTGTTTGCTTGTTTTTTTTTTTAATTCTTTGAGATAATGTGGGTTCGCAGGCCATTGTAAGAAATACACGGAGAGATCTTTACACCCTTCACCCAGTTTCCCCAAGGGCAGCACCCTGTGCAGCTGCAGGACGCCGTCACCGCTGGGACACTGACACGGGCACAACCCATGGATTGTTCCGGTGTCACCGGTTTTACAGGCACTCACGTGAAGACTGGATTATAATCTGTGTACATTTTTCTCAGGAGTTCCTTTTCTGAGCTGGGCTCGATGCTGGTGCTTGTTATGAGAGCAAAAAGTTTCCTAAGTTTCGGCACCCAGATGCCTTCGTGTAACCCTCTGGGATCTGCTAAGATCACACCCTGAAGGGGGAGTGGAGACCTTCTCGATGACGCAGTGTAAATAGGCTGTTCATCTCTGGGAATTACGGAAGTGCCGGCTGCCCCGCTGGCCCTGACGCGCGCGCACCTAGAAGGCACCGAGCCGCGAGGGCAGTATTTTCGCGCTCCGCAGTGGAGTGTGGAGTGCCTGGGGCGGGGAGGCTGAAGCGCTGCTGGAGACGCCAGGCAGCCACAGACTGAGGCGCAGCTGAAGGGGACACACAGGGCTCTGCGGGAGGGTCGGCGGATGGGCGGGCCTTTGCCCTTGGCTGCGCGCGCGCGCGTGTGTGTGTTCATGTCCACTCGTGGCCTGTCTGTCCCAGGTTCGCGTGGGGCACACAGGTGACCTTTATTCCTGCATCCTTCGTTTCCAGGAAATGGTGGGCCAGCTGAGTGGCACTGTGTCTGCAGAGCACAGCTGATCTTGTCCCTGGACTTGGCTCGACTTGGCAGAAGGTAGGGTGGGCTGGAGAGAAATCAGCCTGCTGCAGTTTTCATTGTCATGTTACAAAGTTTGCCAGATTTTACCTCCCTTCAGCGCTCTGGGGAGACCTTCAGGGCCTCCCGCATGGAACCTGCTGAGGCGCAGCCCGGGCAGCGGCCCCGAGACACTGCCCTGCGGCCGCAGACACACGACTGACGGGAGCTGCGGGGCTGCATCTGCCCGCGCCGCGGGGGCGGGGGTGCTCCAGCCCTGCTGCTCCTCCCGCCCACAGAAGTGAGGTCGTTCTGGGCGAGAAGTGGGGTTGTCTGGACACCCGTCACACCCCTCCTGGTAGACGCCTCCACACCCGTCCCTGCACTCGAAACACAGCCAGAGCCCCCGTAGTGACCTGGCCTCGGCCTCTCGGGAGCTTCGAGGCTGGGATGAAGCCAGGTCACCCAGACCCGCTCAGGGGTGGGCTGTCTGTCACCCGCCTGCCTTGTGACAACAGCGGTGCTCCTCATCCCGCCGGCCTCCCCTCCTCGGAGCCCCCCAGGTGTGGGAACCGGCATTGACTGAGGCCACAGGCGACTGGGCCAGCGCTGCCCACGGTGCTGAGAAACACGCCCAGCTGCTTTCAGAGCTACTCTCTCCTTTCTTTCTAATGAAAACCCTCGTGTAATCTGTTAGTGCCTGGTCTGCTGGAGCATGAATTATTCAGAGAAGTCTCTGTTCCGTTATCTGCCTCCCCGGGGACGCCCCTACCATTGTCCGCTCTGATGGGTCATTATGCACTCTGTGAATTTAATCTTTCAGGCTATCCGGCCGCCCTGAAAAAATGTATGAATAACAATTTTCCTGTAATAACCTTCAACTAACCTTTCAGCCGGAGTGAGTCATTCCAGTCCCATTTTCACATCAAGAGGAGTCAAAGGCGGGCAGTTACCTCTTATCTGTTTCAGGAGCTGCCCCCACCTCTGCCGCACCCTTAGCTCTGACAGGGGCGTTGAAGGATGCTGTGGGGCCGGAGGAGGAGGTGGGAGGGCTTGGGAGGCGAGGGGCAGGCTCTGGAGTCCCGACGCTGAGTCTGGGCGAGGGGTCCTGAGCCTTCCCCTGTGGACGTGGGGGCCCGGCGGCCGTCCACCTCCCAGGGCCTCTGCATCTGGCTGGCGTCAGCCAGCAGTCTAGTTTTTTGCCCACTGAAGGCAGCCCTAATTCCTTCTCTTGCATAAGGGAAAAGTCTCCTCTGCCCAGAGATTTCCCCAAAGCCCTCCCACAAATGGCGACTTCAGATCAGCTTTAGCTTCTGGTGAGAGCTAAGGTCACCTTGCTGCTGACAGGA